AACTATTACAGTTAACTCCGTGAGTACCAAGTGAATACGCCAGGGTCATATACAACGATGATCAAACAACCAATGGACTGTGTGCCTTCTGCCTCATTCCCTGTTCCTTGTTTGGTTGTGGGCTTAAGGCAGATACACACAACCCATTGTTTGCTTACTCTGGGTTTTATATAACTTGCATCCATTTAATACTCATAGAAAGGACTGTAGAGTCACTTTTACTTATCTTTCATCAAAGCAGGAAATATATGATTTTCTGGAGGAACAGGCAAACTTTTCTAAACAGAACTTACAACTTACAACATTTTACAACTACATTTTCAACTACAACTTACTACATTTTACAATAACATTTTACAACTTACTTACATCACTAAAATCTTATGAACTCACCAGCTTAATTTTGATCAACTCTTTCAAATAACTTGTATTCTTCAGGAGACTAATAGACAGGTACTCGTGCTGGGAATTCAGAAGATGGAGCATAGTAGCTTCAAGTCTTGTTTTGTTATTTGCTTATGAATTCTATGTTTTGTGAACACACACATTGTAAACACTTTCTTTCTAATGAAATGGTTGTTCATTACTTGCTTACTATAATGCATATCTTGTGATACTAAACATGACGTCCTCCACCCCCGAACGTTTCCGCCGTTCCGGTTTTGGGGTGTGACACCACTCGAGATCCTCGATAGGATCGGTCCCGTGGAATACAAAACTCCGTTTACCCCGAGAACTTAGTAACATTCATCTTGTCTTTCACCTCTCGGCTCTGAAAAAGTGTCTGTCCAATGAGACACTTGTGATTCCTCTCGATGAGATCGAACTAGGCAATAGCTTACACTTCGTAAAAGAACCCGTTAGAATCATGGAACGAAAAGTCAAGTTCACAAAACAACATCGTAATCCCAATAGTGAAGGTTTGCTGGAATACCAAGCGAGGACCTGAATTCACTTGGGAGCGCGAGGATTCAATGAACCAGAAGTATCCCCCATCTCTTTCCAAGATTCATGATTTATAACTTTATCTTTGAATTTCGGGACGAAATTCCCTCTAACGGGGGATGATGTGACAACCCAGAACTTCGATCTTGTACATTTAGTCAATCCCATCAATGTTAAGCTTGTTCTGTTGACTTCTTGTACTGTTTAAGGGTTTATTTAAATGTTCTAAGCTTGAGTATGACCACGGTTGAGGTTAGGAACGAGTCAGCAAGCCACCTAGTGAGAAAAACCGGACCATACACACCTCTAGGAGGAGTGTACGGCTACACACATGGGTGTGCGGCTGCACACCCACCTCTTGGCAGCACACTCGCTTTTGGCAGCACACTCTTACCCCTATATAAATGGTAGACCCATTTCCTTTCATTCCTTTCACTCCTTGGCAGCCCACTACACCATTTCTCTCAAGCTTCTTCAACCTCAAACCCTCCAAAGCTTCAAGAACGTGAGTGATTCATCCTCTAACTTGCAAACCATGAAAGACCACTCTATCTAAGTCTTAAGTGTGCAATATCCATCATGTTCTTCGTGTTTGGAAGTGAGTGCGGCCGCACACCATCTTAGGGTGGCCGCACACCCTTAAAAACACCCTCCAAAGTGAGAGTTTGACTTCCATATTCGAGATAGACATGCCCGTAGCCTTGTTGCACCTTGGAATGGACATTTTGGACATCATCTTGTGGGGTGTACGACTGCACACACCTGTGTACGGCCGCACACACCCTTGTGCGACCACACACCCATCCTAGGGCCGCAAACTCACATCTAGAGCCCTTAAATTGCACTACAATTGAGTATAGACCTAGAACACTTTGTGTATGCAAGTATGGACCTTGAGAACACTTCAAAGGCACCTTCTTTCATGAGTGTACGGCCGCACACCCTTTGGGCCGCACACCCATGGCCGCACACACCTTCAAGGTGGCCATACACTCCCCTCATACAATCCTTTGAGGTCCTAACACTGAGTGCAAATAGTTCCAAGTCCCTAGAATGGTTCTCCATCACATCTAGTGGTGAAATACCTTCATTTGACTCCTTTATGTGTGATTGCGTGTTAATTAGGATCAAATCGTGTTCAAGGCTTCACTTGAACACCCAGCTTTCCGTATCGATCCTTCAATCAAACCACTTACCTGGGTGAAGGGCATTCACCCCTACATTTTCCGTGTGTTTTTAATGTTTTCAGGGGGGGGGGGGAATACAAGCCAAACTCAAAGTATTTTATTAAGTTTTAAACTTATTAATACAGGCCAACGATTTCCACGTTTAATAACGTACTCGTATATTTTATCCATTTTGTAATGCGTGGAGCATAAGGGAAACTTCTATTTTGGAAATCTAACTTCATAGCTTTCAGAAAGGTTTTTACAAAGCATTTTCCATATCAACTCTAATAAACTATAATGGGTATAGTTTTGGGATAACCCTCTAGGCAGTTTTACGTTCTACCAAATCAGATGTCATGGTGACTGAATATGTATAAACTATGCAGATTAGATTTATAAGTTATTTATATTTTCTCAGGAGTATAAAGTACATTTATTTACAAGGATTAATTTTGGTTTTATACTGTTTCTCGCTAGTAAATAGATTATATAGAATTGTGAGGCCTACTTCAATACTGTACCCTTAGGTGTACAGGGTTAAATCCTATCTCAGTATAACCAGAGTCTCCTGGAGGGAGAGCGTGAGATTTGTGAATAGATCTATTCGGGACTGACAATCCCACACCAGAACTGTTAGCTACAGTTAGGCAGGCATGCCTGTGGTGGACAAATGTCATTTAGCTTAAACGCCTGAAGAACGTTATAAAGGTCTCTAGGTCATATCAAGTATGGTTATACGACTCGCAAATAAGTATAAACTAACTTTGTTTACGGACTCTACCCTTCATTAGTTTTATTTTGAGTAATAAAACTACTTTTATATATGCTGATAGTAATCATGGATTTCTAAACTGTCATCTCTACCTCTAGGACGGATAACTTGTTTTTAGGGAAAATATAGGATTTTCCCAGAATAACACCGACTTTTTAAAACTGATAGTTTACTACTCTACTAACGGATATTCATATTCATTCCATGACTCCTTGGATCGTGCATATCTTGTATGAACGGGAAGTCATGGAAGGAATGAATGAGTTTCAAACCATATATTCATAAGAAAATATAGGATTTTCTTGAGGAACACTTTTCAAAAGAATCAAAGACAATTTTTTCTCTAAAACTAAATGTTTATGAACTCACCAGCTTTATGCTGATATTCTTTCAAAACTGCTTGTATTCTCAGGGAATTAGTAGACAGGTACTTCCAGGAGTTTGAAGAAGTCGGAGCTTTAGAGTTACGTCTTTCTATTCTACTTTTGAGAAGAACAAAACTATGTATTAAGACAATGTAAACCTTTTTCATATATGTATTCAATGTTTGGTTGAGTTTACTATGCTTGTTATGATACAAATGTTGTGATACTACGCATGACGTCCTCCACCCCGGAACGTTTCCGCCATCACGGTTTCGGGGTGTGACAACATTCGATCTTGTAATCTTATCTTTTGTTTATCTTATATTTTCTTTAATTTATGGTAACTCATTTTTGATGTCCAAAGATTAATGCGATTTATATAAATATAAGTTGTAATTAGAGTTGGTTAGCTTGTACGACTTAAAAATTAAGTAACAGTTGTCCTAACAAAATAGATGTTTTACTATAATAGTCATTATATATATATATATATATATATATATATCTATATATATATATATATATATATAATATATATATATTCAAACTTAAATAGGAAAAACTTATTCAACTATTCAACAGCAAAGAAGGTTGACTTTTAAATTTTAAAGTTGAATAAAATAATATTAAAAACAAATTAAGTAAATATAAGTAGAGATTTCTAGTCTTGTTTGGGACACAACTTACATTCTCATGGCATCTACTTTGCTCTACACGGTCACCCTTGTTTGGTTACTCCTCCTCCTGACCTCTGCGAATGTATGTCTTCTCTTTCTCAAAACAAAAATTTTATCCTTACAATTTTTAGAACAGTTCTAACTTTTGCAAACTGTTCTCTAATGTATTTCAGCCAATTGATTGGACAAACCATGGTGGAGATTTATACAACCGTAGACATGCCTATGGTGAAACAAAGATTAGCCCTGGAACAGTGGCTAACCTTCAACTTAAATGGAAGTTTGTCGCTGGAAAAGATATAACTGCAACGCCAGCAATATATGATGACACCATCTATTTCCCGAGTTGGAATGGAAACATATATGCCCTTGATGCATCAGATGGGTCAGTCATTTGGCAACAAGATATTGGTCAACTAACAGGGCTTAACTCAACAGGACTTATACCTGGAGTTAATCGGCCTGTGTCAAGGTCGACTCCTACTGTTGCTCATGATCTTTTGATCGTTGGAATTTATGGACCAGCTTATGTTGTGGGGCTTAATCGTAGTAACGGTGAACTTGTATGGTCTACCCAACTTAGTACCCATAACGCTTCTATTATCACCATGTCCGGAACTTATTATAAAAGGTACATCTATTTAGAGGACGTCTGCGTAATTTGTTTATAATTTGGATTTTTAATTATTATCTTGGAATGTGGAAAGTAGAGGAATTTTGCGTACTCTATGGCCAACAAGTAAACTTTTGATTATTGATTCCAATATTATACTCGAGTTGACAATTTTGAAATATTGGCCAAAAGTAAACTCTTAGACTATGGATTGCAATTATTGTACCCCGTTTGCCAATTTTGAAAGTTTATATATACATACAATAAAAATTAGACTTTATTAAATTTTGTGAACGCCTTCATCTTCCAAACACAACATACACAATTAATGAGTCCAACTTTATCTAGGTGTTGCTAAAAGGTATCTCTCAACTATAGGTTGTGGATTCAAATGTTTGTTGCATGCAAACAAAAATTTATTTTAGGAGTTGAATAAATTATACATGTGTATTTGTCAATACCTCATGTCATATATATATTACTTCTTTGTATTTACATTTTCTTTTTCTAACTTTAGTCTATTTATCTAGGTTAAGGTTAACACGTGATCTAAAATGAAAAAGAAAAACTAATTATGATATGTTACCCTTTTATTCAATTTGTCATTTTTTAGTTGTAAAATTGATAAATGTGTTAACCTTTTCTAGTTAGTGAGACAAATGAAGAAGTATTGCAATTGCTTAACATTGACATCGTTATATGTTGTTTTAAATCTATTCGAAGCAATTGCAATATACTTTTTCATTTGTCTCGTAACTAGAAAAACCAAAAATGTTCAATAATAAATAATCTATTTGGTTGTTATATATATATATATATATATATATATATATATATATATATATATATATATATGATATGTAATTAATCATCATATATAATCTAAGAATTTGCGATGGAGTAGCCAATAAATCTATTGGAATATGCTTTGTGCAGTGCTTTCTACGTGGGAACATCTTCACTCGAAGAAAGCACCACCCTTGAAGCATGTTGTACATTTATAGGAAGTTTCTTAAAGTTAAATGCCAAAAATGGTAGCATCATATGGCAAACCTACATGTTACCAGACAACAATGGTAGCACCGATGAATATGCCGGTGCGGGCTTATGGGGAAGCAGTCCATCAATTGACATTCACCGTAATGCTGTATACATTGCCACAGGAAACATGTATTCAGCCCCATTGAATGTCACACAATGTCAAGAAGCACAAAACAATGAAACAACACCAAATCAAGAAGATAAGTGCATAGAACCCGAAAACCATTCCAATTCCATCCTAGCCCTGGATTTGGATTCGGGACACATCCAATGGTATAAACAATTAGGAGGCTACGATCTATGGATTTTTGCATGTAATAATCTTTCTACTCCAGGGTGTCCACCTGGCCCTAATCCTGATGCGGATTTCGCGGAAGCACCGATGATTTTAACAACTAATGCTCGTGGATACAAACGTGACATTGTTGTTGCAGTACAAAAGAGCGGGTTTGCTTGGGCTTTGGATCGTGACAATGGTAGCATCGTTTGGTCTACGGTAATGTTTGTGTTCATTTTGCTACATATTTACACAATTTTGAATTAAGTGTCCCCATTATAAAATATGAAAAAAAAGTAACCGAACTTGTGACCACGTTTGTTTAAGTCAGTTCATGAGTTTTGAGATTTTTAGTAACCTTAGATTTTTAGATTTTATGAAAAATATGGAATTAATTAAGAAAAGTTTTGTTTGAGTACGAGTTTAGAAATTTTATTTTAAACAAAAAGTTTATAAAACTAAGTTAATTCAATTGGTTTTTGAGAGATTTTAAGGTTTTTTGATTTTACCATTTATGTTGTAAGTCCTTTTATATATTTCAAAAGTTTACAACTAGTTTTGCCGAATACTTCTACATAAATAAAAGTTGCGGCTAGCTTCCGATTGTTTTACCGAACATACTCCAAATTCATTCAAAATGACAGATTGGTCAAATGTGGAAATTAAAAATATAATATAAAAATAAATTTTAATCATGCTCTTAAATTTGGCACCCCTGAATTTTAGTTTAGTTTTTATATGATATTTTTTATGAAGTAACATGAACTGAGGCTTTTTGTTACTTTTGTCAAATTTGTTACAACGAACACAATGCCTTTTTGATATGTCTGTAGTTGAGATTCTTGTAATCTTGATACAAGGTTATGTGTGTTCGTGTGTAATTTCCCTTTTATTCATATATCTATGCATGTATGTGCCAATTGGCCGCATAGATGATCCTTGTAGAAATGGTGAAAGCTTTGAGTTATAATATAATGGCTGGAGTGTGGAAATGTCAATTCCAACATAGATTGAACTCTGCTTAGTGATTAGGCTCTTATGTCACATCTAATGTGTTGCTTTGTATCTTATTTACATCTATGATTCTTTAGGAAGGGGACATCTACGTTGCTAGAAAAGTAACCCTGTTGCAAATATATATGAATTGAATGCTCAAGTTATGATTAATTGTAGGTAGCTGGACCTGGGGGAGCTGGTGGAGGAGGTGCTTGGGGATCCGCTACTGATGGAAAGATAATCTACACCAACATTGCAAATAGTATGCAAACTACATTTACACTAAAACCATCAAATATCACAACGACTAGCGGCGGATGGGTGTCAATGAATGCCACAAATGGAAACATCTTATGGTCAACGGCAAATCCAAGTAATGCAACCGCAAGTGGCCCAGTGAGTTTAGCCAATGGTGTTGTGTTTGCTGGTTCAACCAATGGAACTGGACCCATATATGCCATGAGTGGCACCACTGGAGAAATTTTGTGGTCGTATAACACCGGAGCCACAGTGTACGGTGGCATGTCCATAAGCGATGGTTGTGTGTATGTCGGCAATGGCTACAAAGTAAATTTTGGTGCTTTTGATCCAACTTATACACCCGGGACAACCTTGTTCGCCTTTTGCCTTCCCCCATAACTAAAAACGGAATTGTAATTAAAATGTGACACAATATTGTTTTTCATGTTATCGTAACTATTATATTCGCAAAGTAATTTATATTACTTTTTGTTTGATTGCGCCGATCATTGCAAACATATAGTTAACATGACCGATTCAAGCTAATTTGAAGCCCCAAACAAAATAAAAGAAATGAGGCCCTTAACAATAATTTTTTTTAAGTAAAAATGATTAATTGCTTAGATTCATGAAAAATCGGTTGAAATTTCTTCTTCTATACCAATTTTGTCTCCAATCTCGTTTCTCCTTTTTGTCGCTATCATTGATGACTTAATACCAAACGTTTTTTTTTTCTTATAATAATATAAGTTGATGCATAAAAAATAGGCCCTAAAAGTTTAGAGGCCCTCGGTCATCGTCACGCTGCCACACGCACTCATACAACCATGCCTGTCAAGGTTAAATGAAAAAAAGATCAATGTCGATGGGCAAAACCCCTAATTTTAGTTTATTGGTAAATCTTTACATAGTGTACGTCATCGGAGTAATCGGTACCCAACATTCTCGTTGTTGACAACGATATCCTTTGGTAAATACATCAACCCGTAGGTATCAATATTATGTTTCCAAGTTTTAGAAAAAAAAAGAAGATAATTAATGGAATTATGATAGGATTAATGTTAAAAATTCTCTGTCCTTGAAACATTTTCGTCCTAAACATGAAAGGAATATACGTAAAATTGTGTTAGTATATATAGGGATTTTCTATAACGTTTCATTAAAGGAAAGTGTTGATACTGGAATGACTAAAAATAATAGAATAAAGTATTAGAGGGAGCTGATGTGCATGGAATGAAAGTGAAAGAGAAGCTCCATGACCGACTATAAAAATAAAAATAAAAATCGGAAGTATCTCATCTATTATAATAAATGAAATTTTTTTTTTGTCACTTATCACACTTTCATTCAATTTGTCAAATGTTATTTTGTGGTTATTTTGAATTATTTTTTTTAACATGTCATTTTATGAGTTTTTTATTTTACTAAATTAAACATAATATTTTAATGTAATAATTACAATAAATGTAGTAATAAATAGATATCAATTTCATTAATCAACTTACTTTTTAATTTCATAATTCCCAAAATTAAATCTCATTAGTTTCTTTTGTTTATTTATTTAAATTTAAAAGATAAAAAACATTTTCATTATAATAATTCATTATTTTTCTTATTTTCTTATAAATTGAAAGCTCTTAAATATTTTGACATTTATATTTAATTTTTTTTTTAAACTAACCTATGTACTACATGGGTCTCATAACTATCCAGTATGAAATGAAAGTGAAAGGAGTTGGATGACCCACTATAAAAATAAAAATAAAAATTGGGAAGTATCTGATTATTCTCTTCTTCCTTTGTTTAAAATCCTAATCAACGTTTGGATCGTTGGATTCTTTTTAACTTTTTATTGGATTTTAAAAGTAACTAAAAGGGTTTTGATTTTGATGGCTTTGGATTTAATTTTTTTTTTTGAATAAAAAGAAGTACAAAATTTATTAAAAATAGCGAATGAGAGGGCTAAAGGTAACAAACCCAAATGGTATTTTACACACAGTTACGCTAAACAATATGGTAAAGACTTCGATTTAGATGATGATTTGACACATATTTTACTAGTGAACATCATTTCCGTCTAGTTGTGACGTGAAACAAGCCACATAACTTTACAAGGAGAGTGAAGCTTTTGTTCTCTCTCTCTCTCTCTCTCTCTCTCCACTAGTAAACACAATTTCAAGATATTTGTGGAATGGTTAAATGATGAGGTGACCGCCATTCACTTGTAACGATACTAAATGGTCTTGCCCCAATACACTAACAACCCATTTTCCCTCTAATCTTTATCGATGGAAAGTAGTCGCCAATACCTCCTTCGCCAAAATCTTTCGTTTTTTGGTAATTTGAATTGTACATAAATTTGTTCTTGTAATTCCATATAATTTAAAGATAGGCAAGGTTAATCACTTCAGCGAGAGCATTGATCCTCTTATCCTTCACCAAGACGGAGCAATCCGCCACCAAGTTGCCAATCGATAGATGGTTGGGAGCGTTGTTGCTCCACTAGTTGTGTAGGATGGAACAAATCTTTTTGGCGGTTGATCAATCACTACAAGAAAAAGAACCCTTTAGGACATGCAAACCACGTCACTCATTGATTTATGTTACGCAAAAGAGAATGACATTAAAAAAGTGTCATCTCTTGTCGGCTTCTTTTATTGGCAAGAAGTGTGCGGATTTGGTTAATCTGTCGACGATTACCCAAATAGTATTATAACCACCCGAAGTCTTGGGTAATTTGGTTATGAAATCCATTGTAATCCGCTCCCACTTCCATTCAGGGATTTCAGGTTGTTGTAATAAACCTGAAGGTTTTTGGTACTCTACCTTGACTTTGGCACAAGTAAGGCACTTTGCCACAAAGGTAGCGATTTCGGCCTTCATGTTAGGCCACCAATATAGTTTCTTAAGGTCCAGATACATCTTGTCTGAACCTGGATGAATGGAGTATCGGGTTTTGTGTGCTTCATTCATAATCACGTCTCTGTAACCACCGAATTTTGGCGTCCAGATCCGGTTCATGAAATAATAGACTCCATCATCCCCGACTTCGAAGTTCTTATCCATTCCTCTCAGAGTTTCACCTGCCACGTTTTCGGGTTTCAAGGCTTCAAGTTGAGCTTCTTTGATCTGTGTGGACAGATGTGAATGGATTGTCATGGCCAACGACTTGACCCGGCGTCCCGAGTATTCTTTTCTGCTAAGGGCATCAACTACTACGTTTGCTTTACCAGGGTGATAAATAATTTCACATTCGTAGTCGTTCAGTAGCTCCAGCCATCGTCGTTGTCTCGTGTTCAGCTCTTTTTGATCGAAGATATGCTGAAGAATTTTATGGTCCGTGAATATTGTGCATTTCGTGCCATATAGGTAATGTCTCCAGATCTTCAGAGCAAACACCACCGCTCCTAGCTCAAGGTCGTGTGTTGTATAGTTGACTTTATGCGTCTTAAGTTGTCTTGAGGCGTAGGAGATAACCTTTCCTCTTTGCATAAGTACACAACCAAGCCCTTGATTTGAAGCATCACAGTACACTACAAAGTCCTCTGTCCCTTCGGGTAGGGACAAGATCGGTGCACTGCACAAGGCTTGTTTGAGCGTTTGGAATGTTGTTTCTTGCTTCTCTCCGCAGTTAAAGGTTACACCCTTTTGCGTCACAGTGGTAAGAGGCTTAGCTATTCGAGAGAAATTTTGGATGAATCTGCGATAGTAGCCAGCAAGACCTAAGAATTGTCGGATTTATGTAGGTGTTTTGGGTGCTGGCCAGTTTTCAATTGCTTTGATTTTGGAAGGGTCCACGTGTATTCCTTCTGAACTGACCACGTGACCTAGGAATTCAACCTTCCTAATCCAAAATTCACACTTTGAAAACTTCGCATAGAGTTTTTCTGTCCTAAGGGTTTGTAATACTTGACGAAGATGTTGGCCATGTTCCTCTTTGCTTCTTGAGTAGATAAGGATGTCGTCAATGAAGACTATGACGAATTTGTCCAGGAATGGACGACACACTCTGTTCATTAGGTCCATGAACAGAACAGGTGCATTCGTCAATCCGAATGGCATCACTATAAACTCGTAATGAACATAACGAGTTCTAAACGCGGTCTTGGGAATGTCTTCCTCCAAAATCCGTAACTGGTGATACCCGGATGTTAAGTCTATTTTCGAGAAGTAGTTCGCACTTGAAGTTGGTCGAACAGTCGTCAATGCGAGCAGAGGATATCGATTCTTGATGGTAAGTTTATTCAGCTCGCGGTAGTTCTATGCACATGCGGAATGATCCATCCTTCTTTTTTACGAACAAAACCGGTGCTCCCAAAGGTGAGAAGCTTGGTCTTATGAAACCTTTGTTAAGGAGTTCATTAAGCTGGCTGGATAATTCTTGCATTTCAGAAGGTGCAAGACGATAGGGGGATTTGGCTACAGGGGTAGCTCAAGGGATTAAGTCGATTCGGAATTCGACTTGTCGTTCGGGAGGTACTCCTGGAAGATCATCAGGAAAAATATTGGGAAAGTTGCAGACCTCTGGAATGCTCGCGATATCTTTCACTTCTTGCTTTTTGTCTACCACGTGAGCTAAGAAAGCACACTACTCCTTGCGAAGGTATTTATGTGCCTTGATGCAAGAAATGATATGAAGGTTCGTTTTGGGTTTGTCGCCATAGATAACAAGAGTTTCATTAGTTGGCAAGTTCAAACGAATAGCTCTTTCATAACATAGGATTGATGGGTTTTGAGCATTCTAACACTTCCTAAGTGTACATGCAACCCTAATAACCTTGGATCTATGTTTGTCTAATAATCATGCAAAGTTGAATTCCAAGGTTATATTCCTATCTAGCATACATGGGGAACATTTTTAACTTGAATGAAAGACTAAATAACTTACGTTGTTGTTGATTATGATCCTTGAAACCTTGTGAGCCTAGCACCCCAAGTGTGATGCCTCAAATGCTTCACACAACACCAAATGCTTTTGGAATGACTTTAGAGAGAATACTCACTTCTAAAATCGGCCTAGCCCTCTTGTTTCTTATGTGTCGCCAATTTTGGTGGAGAATGGGTTTCTTATATAGTGTTGACACATCTAGGGTTACACCATGTAAACCCTAATGTGTCATGACTCTTCATTTCCATGACCCATGGGTTTGTAACTCCCATGGAGCATCCATGGAGCATCCTATGGGTGGAACCCAACTTGATAATCCATGGAGCCTCTTAGCCCACTATATAAGATATGGAAGATTTACATAATCTACCCATATATTTAATTAGTTATCTTTTGATCACTTAATTAATTCTAAATTAATTCTTGATCAAACTAATTAAATAATATTATTAATATATTAGAACTTATAATATATTAATAAACCATAAGTGTTATTTCTCTCATTTTAGTTTATCCAATTGCATGGTGCCATGCAACCCAAATGGACCATGCCGGGTCGGG